CCTGTGGATTGCTGGAATGGGAGAGGTACGTGCATCCCTTTTCTGGGAATTTCTTGTATTCTTGGTGTGAGAACAGTTTCTTTGGAGCTGAACTGTGAGGCTTTGTTCTTTGTTTGTTTGGTTTGAGTAACAAAACACGGCAGATAAAAGGCTGTCCCTGCTCTGAGGAGGTGCAGGGACACTCCCCTGGGTGAGGGGCTTTTAGTAGGAAGTGGCTTTATGGAACCAGCCTCTGGAATGCTCTTTGGATCCTGTCCAGGGTGTCACTGAGCAGAACTGAGGTGAGGCTGGCAGTTGTGTCTGGAGGGTTTAATGGCCTTTCTAAAAGGCCCCTTGTAGTGGGGTTTGGCTTTGGCAGTGTGGGAATGGTGATGGGGAGTGTTGTGACAGAGCAGAATTACCTCCTCTTCCTTGTCCATCTGTTCTTGCTGTGCTCGGCACCTGGGGAGTGCTGCTGCCTTTCTTTTCACTGAATAGCTGATCAAAAGGAGAAGGAATGGCCCAGCCTTACCTCTGCCACTGCTTTCCAGGCTCTGCATTGCTGGCACTTTGCCTCAAGGGGAGGTTTTTGCAGCTGCAAATTGTACCATGAAAAAATGATATTGAAAAAAACCCCAACCCTTTCCTAAACCAGTTTTTGGTTATAGATTTGTGCTTTAGACAACAGGAAAACACGTCTTGCTGGAGCCCTGTGCCTGCAGAACCAGACTGTTTAAAGCAGCAAGCATTGCTCAAAATGCTGGTTTTGAACTTTTCTTCATTGTTTCAGTTCCCATGAAATGAGGAATCTCCTGTGCAGTGCAGGTGATTCCACTTGCAGTGATTTCCATGAAGGCCTGCAATGACCTACAGCTGCTCTCGTTACTAATCAAAGTCTTGGATCCTTTGGTGATCCCAGCTGTGGTGCCCTCAAGATGTTCAAAATGGAGCTCCTTTCTCCCCTCAAATCTTCAACAAAATCTCCATTTCCTGTAGCAGCTTGTACACTGTGCTCCAAGATTTCCAATATTTTACAGTTGGAGTTTCCCACTCTGGGAACTCGTCTTTATAAACTTACACCTTTAACTAAGAGCCAAATGAGAAAAACCAGTTATTTGCTGTGGCTCTGATCTAATGATGTGAAAATGTGCTATTAAAGGTGAACGTTCCTAATCTTGAATGGCTCCAATATTTGGTGAAATCCCATATTTAGAACAATGGCATCACACCGGGAGATGATTTAAATGGAGTTTGTGTGGGCAGCTGCTTTTCTCGGGAAATTCTCGTGAAGTTGTGTGCCCTTGTTTTGTGCTGCAGTCGGAAATCAGGCATCCAAGAGCTCAAAAGAATAATTCCATTTAACTTTTTAATGGCCACTTTGTGTTGCAAAGAGCCCGAGATTAGAAGTGCTGACACAGGAACAACTTGGTGCACTGGAGAAAGAAACAGTTTCTGCAAAGTTGCTGCAAAGGGAACTTTCACACAACTCCTGAGTCAGGTCCCAGCTGCCCTTCCTTGCAGTGTTAATTTACCCTGTTTTCTTTTATTGTGAAATATTTATGTTCCAAGCAGTGTCCCGCTGTGGGAGGTGTGTAAGGTGAAGCAGTCCCTGTCCTGTTAGTCAGGAGTGGATCCTTACACACTCCAGGCTGAAGTCCTGCTTTCCTTTGGCAAATGTGTTTTGTGGGAAGGGGAAAAAAAAAACCAGCTGTTTTCTCATAAATTGCTTTTCTTGGAGTTGTCAGTTTACTACTTCTGAGTGTTAAACATTCTTCTCTTTTTCTCTGGAAATCTTTGCTGCAAACTTTCACCTAAGTTGTTATCTGGGAAACCTCCCTCCGTTTATTTCTCTGCTTTTTATCTGCAACTTTGGTATTTAAACGGAAAGTTTTATGCTGGTACTATCAGCATAAAATGTTAGTGGGCATTCAGCAAAAATTAAAATTAGAGTTTGAAACCACACTCCTTTGTCATGCTGGTGTCAGGGGTTTTTTATTTTTAAACAAAGCTGAAATCTGATTCTGGTTGGGGGACCTTGTGTTTTAGCTGAGATAATAGAGAGTTTGGAAGCAGGAGGGTTCATGTTAATGAAAGAAGAGGCTCCTATTTGTAGGTGGCTGTTTTGGGGGGAATATTTAATTTGCAGAATGTTTCTGGTTAAAAATAGGAATGCAGTCAGACAGGTGGAGTGTGAAGTTCTCTATAAAAGCCATTGATTGGACTGCTCAGTCACTAATATAAAGTGATACCACTCAAAGAGGTCAACCTTCCCTGCAGTGCTGAAAGTACTTTACTAACCTGCATCATTAGGGATTTTTGGCAGATAAAATTGGGAGTAAAGGCTCTTTTCCTTGAGATTGTGTTCATTTCAAGCTCTCATTCTCCTGTATTTCACGAAACAAATCTGTCTTCTGAGGAGGGATTAATTGAGCAGTTCATCTTCCTGAAGGAGGTTTTGAGTTATGATTTGTAAAAACGGGAGATTACTCAGATTTTCTGTCTATCTTTGGGTAAAACTTTGCTGGAGAGGAGGCTCACCTTGCAGGTCAATTAAAGTGTTTGAAATATCCGCCTTTGCTTAGAGCTGGCTGTACTCTGAAGGGTTTTTTACCTCATTCTTGTAGTAGTGTGCTACTTGTTTGTGTGTTTTTGTCACCTAATTGCTGCCATTGAGCTGCAGATGGGAAGAGCCCCATCAGTGGGGTGTCCTGGCTGTGTCCTCTCTGCCCACAGAGGGTGCTGCTGGAAGGGTTCTCTCTGCAGCATGGGAGGGGAGGATTCCTCAGTGCACATTCACTGCCATCCCTGTCACTGTGTCACTGAAGGCACTGATGGGTCAGCTCACATCCCTGCTGCTGGGGGAGTTGTCCTGCCCCATTTTCCCTGCTTGCCTGGAGGTGTTGCACAGGACCCCAGCAGGAAAAAAGCCCTTGTATCTCTTTCCTCCCAGCAGGAAAAATGCCATTCTGAGGTGGGTGGAGGGAGAGTGGGTGGTTCTCCTTGGCTGCTTAGGAAATACTGCTTTTATGTAATCTCTTCTCGCACTCCAGCTCTGGGTGGAAAATCAAGGTTGGGTGTGGATGTAAAATCCTGCCATTAAGAGACCCTGGGAATTCAGGGGCTGGCAGAGCCATTGTGTGTTTGTGTTGAGTAAATGGAAGCCAGACCTGAGGAGAACTTTGTGCACTGTGCCTGTGCTCCTGAAACCCAAACATCTCTCTTTGGGCTTGCAAAGTGTTCAGAAGATTTCAAATCTAAAATTTTGGGTCAAGATTGCTGTTGGCCTTTGGGCGGGAAGGGAACTGCACCTTCAGGGACTTGTTGTGCATTTTCCTCTTCTCCTCCTTACCCCGGTGGACTCTGTTGTCTTTCTTTGCCCTTCTTTTCTTTCTGTGTTTTCAGCACCTCCTCTCCACTGGTTTATTCCTGGTTCCCTGTGAGCCCCTTTCCTGCCGGGCTCTCCGAGGGCCCGTGGTGGTCCCTGGCCCCGCAGGGCTGAGTGTCACAGTCCTTGGGGTCACATATTGATCCCTTGTCCTCCAGTGTGGGGTTTGTCCTTAAAAGCTTTTGCCACCACTGAGCTGTGACACCGCTTTGCTGTGCTCTAAATTTGGAATTGAGGTTTCTCTCCGTGTGGTCCTTGATGGAAAAGCGTCATTTTTAGAAAGCTGAGCAGAAATCCCTTTGGTCTGGCAGGAGTTGAGGGAGCTTCTAAACACCAAGTGCTGCACTCCAGCTTTGTTACTGCCTCCTGTTAGCTTCAAGGGAGCTTTATAATCCACAAAACATGGTGAGATAGAAAGGTTTTGCCAAACCAAACCAGCCAACTGTATATTGTGACAGGAAATGCAGGTCTGAGGAGACTTGGTTTTTGGAAGACTTGAGTAAGCCAGGCAGGTCATGAGTGTCTGCAAGTGGCATTGCTCCTGCACAAAGCCATGGTTCAGTGCCAAACCACAGCTTAGCTTAAAGCCTTGCCTCTCTGGGTCATCATGGATGTGCTGCTGCATCTACCATATTTCTCACTTCTTGCCTTTCATCTCGTAAAATCCGTTGCTTCTGTTATTGTTTGCTTTAAACTAAAACAAACAACCGAGAAAACCATCTTTTCCAGTACTTGATTTTGTCCAGGCAAATAGCAAAACTGTACTGAAAATTAAAAGTCTTGTTTTAAATGCTTTAATATAATTTTGCCTTAATTTGGAAGCTTTATGCACTTTTCAGAACAAAATGTATTTTCCTAAATGTTACTGTTTTTACATTAATGTAAAGCCAACAGGCTGTGGTGGACCTGGAAAAAATGCTGATGCAGAAATGCAGAGGGCTGGTTTTGCTTTGCCTGGTTCCTCATGGCTGGTTTTGCTGCTTTGGGTGGAAACTGGAGAGCTGGGTTTGTCTGGTGAGATATTAGGCTTAAAACAAACTCAGCACGGCCAAACTGGCTCCTTGGATCATACCAAAGAAGGTTTTAAAAACAATACTTGCCCATGTTACAACACAAGAAAAATGAAGGTGTAAAGCAATCAGTCCTTTGCTGTTCCCAGTTTGCCCAGTATGGGCGTGTCTGTGAGTGCTCTGTTTGGGGGGGTTTCAGGGTTTATTTGGTGCTGGTACCTCGGCACAGTGGTTGGTTGAACCTCCTGGGGCTGCTGCTCTGCCAGCAGTGGGTGGGTGCTGGAGCCCCTCTGGCACGGGGAGCTGGGTGAGGGCACTGTGGCACTGCCAGTGCCAGGGCAGCTGCTCCATCCTGGGGGAGTGTTTCCATCCTCAGGACGGTGGCTGCTGGGCTGTGTCCAACCCTCTGGTTGTCACTGGCTTGGAGGGTGAGATCCCCCTGTGAGATCCACAGAGAAATCAGGGTGTTGTCTCTCCCACATCACCCGGCCCGTGTGGTGTTCCCTGCTTCTCTGGGGGTGTTGGCTCTGGATCTCTTTGGTTTCCTGGGAACTGACTGCTCGTGTGCTCTGTCCCCTCTTCAGCCTGCCCTTTACTTCTGCTGAGGTTATTTGTTTGTTTTTCAGATGAGACCCTTTTTGCTCTTCCTGCTACACCTGCGCCTCTGATGCCCTCCTCTGCAGGCAAGTTCTCTCTGCTCCCCTTTGTCTGACCCCTCCTGCATTTCTGAGCTCATTAACCCTTTCCCTTTAGTCTGCCTTGACTGACAGTCAGCACGGGTCCAAGAATAGCCTCTGTCACATTTCTCAGGTTTGACTTGGCAGTCAGTCTATTCCAGATTTTAATAAGCATTCATTTCTTGACATGGCAAACTGTTGGATAAACAAGATACAGCCATCTGTGAATTCTTGGACCCTTGATGTAGGAGAGAAGTCGATCCTGTTAACAGGTTAACACATAGAGCATAGTTACTTTACTGATTTAGCAGAAAGATTTAATCCACAGTAACTTTCTGCAGTATTTTATAGAAGTAAAATTTGTACCTGTAGCATTTATGTAGTGGGTTTGGTTTGGTACAGTGTCCACCAAATTCCCATCTATGAGAAGTGTCAGAAAAGCCTTTGCTGGCACACATACGTTTATGGCCAAGCACACGCAGGTCCCCTCTCTCTGTCTCACCTTGCCACCCTCCCACTCTGACTTTGTTAATATTGCCCTCTGTACTTATCTGGCACCTTCAGCTTTACTGAGATCTTTGTGCTGCACAAAGTTGCTGCTTCTCCAGCCTCTTCTGCTAGAAGTGAACTAGAGTAGCTCTAGCTGATACTGTGTGTTCATGGCTCCCAGTATCCATGGTAGAACTTGGAAGAGCCTCTAACTAACTAAAATCATGTGAACCTGTCTTGAAAGTTTGCATTGACTTAAGAGCACTTGCATTCTCTAACTTTCCTTTCTGTCACAGACAAGGGTGTGGACTTGCAGGAGCAGCCAGGTAGCACTAAGGCGCTTGGGCAAGAGGATTTCACTGCAGTCCCGCTTGGTCCTGCTCCTTCTCTCCCCTCCTTCTCTCCTCTCTCAGCTGAGCCCTTTAAAGAGCACACAGCCTTTGGTACACTCTCAGATGGATTACCTGCAAGAGGCATTTACCAGGAAAGTGCAAGTGAGGTTTATAAGGAGACAATGAAAAATGCCAGAAATCCCTTCCTTGCAGAGGGAAATGACAAAGACATTTCAGAGATGAAACACTCAGAACCCCCATTTGCTAAAGCAGAAGCAGCCATTTTCTCTCCTGCTAAAGAAGAAACACAGCTAGAGGGCCCTAAAGAATTACCTAACCTGGAGAAAATGCCTGCACAGCCTCTGAAAATGTCTCCAGAAACTCCCCAAGACTTGTTTGAGAGAAAGGAGGAAGATCTGTTCTATAGCAGAGACATGTCCGGGGCTGGTGATCACCGTGAGAAAGGGGTGCTGAAGGAAGACCCTCTCAAGAGGGAAGAATATGCAGATTTCAAACCATTTGAGCCAATATGGGAAGTAAAAGGTGCTAGTCATGGACTGAGCAGCATGAGGGAGGATGTTGGAAGTAAGATAGATGCCAAACCGCAGAGCAGTTTGGATGAGAAATATGGCGTGGGGAAGCTGAATGTGCAGAAGGATTACGAAAGAGAGAGCGAGGGCAGTGCTGAGGAGCCCTCTTTCCCAAGTACCCCAGAAGCTGTAAAAGAACCTTCGCAGACTTACATCACTTGTACTAAATTTGACTCCTCTCCGAGTCCTGATGGTAACAAAGGCAAGTCTCTGTCTCCACTGGAGGAAGTCACTTCAGAAAATAGAACCGATGACGAGAAAAAAATCGCCGAGCTGAAGGCTCAGACGAGCCCAGAGCCAGGTAATTTTAGCGCTGGAGCAGTTGGCAGGCGGGAAGGGCAGGGGGCTGACTCTGCCAAGGCAGAGAGCGGGGCAGCAGTGCCCCCTGAGGCTGCAGCCAACATGCCCGAGGGGCTCACCCCTGACCTGGTGCAGGAGGCCTACGAGAGCGAGCTGCACGATGCAGCGGGGACAAAGCTGGCTTACGAGCCCAAGATTGACTTGGTTCAGACCTCCGAGTCGGCACAGGAGAGCTTGAAACCCGTGGCACAGATCTGCCCCTCCTTCGAAGGGGTGGAAGCTGCTCCCTCTCCCATATTGCCAGACATTGTTATGGAGGCCCCGCTGGGCACTGGGGCTGCCGGGGCAGAGGCGTCTGCTGTGCAGCTGGAAGCTTCCCCCTTAGACACCTTCAGTCCCGCTGCGAAGTACGAGAACGTCAAAGCAGAGGCTGAGAAGCCTCCCGTGTACCAAGAGGCAGGGAATGTACCTCTGACACAGCCCCAGGAAGCTAAAGAGGCATTAACATTTAAACAACCTGCTCCCGAGAGCAGCACCGCTCCGGAAGATCTGGAGACTCCTTATATATCCATTGCGTGTGACTTGATCAAGGGAACAAAGGTCCCTGGTGAAGCTGCTGCTCCGTCCTTTCCAGAGTACTCCAAGGCACCGATAGCAGAACACATTCCTCAGGATGTGCCTGAACACAAGGAGCTGGAGGGAAAACTGTCCCCCCAGTTTGGCAAATCCGAGCTGTTTAGTAGCCAGGCAATAGCTGACTTTGCTGAGGAAGCCAGTGAGGATCCAGCTCTCCTGAGAACAAGCGGATCCACTGAGAGCATTGCAAGTGAGGATGAACACGAGGAAGCACTGGGGGGTTCAGCAGCTGCTGCGGGCAAGCCTTACCTGGAGTCATTCCAACCCCAGCTGGACTCTTCCAAAACTGTTGCTGCTCTGCCATCTGAGCCAATACCTGCAAAACCAGCCAAGGCAGAGAAGATTGCTCTTCAGATGGAAGAGCTGGATGCTTTGGCATATTCAGCTGATGTGTCTGTTGCTATGGAACCAAAAACAGGAGATGACAAAGCTCTCTCACCCATGGACTCTTCCCCGGTCTCGGTGGAAGATGACTTTGTGATGTTGGCTCATCCTAAAACCTCTCCTGAATTCATGACAGAAGCCACTGACAGAGAAGGGATGCACAGAGATGAAGAGATCAGTAAGGTGACCCAAGGTGAGAAGAGGCAGTTGCCTTGCCCAGAGCTGCCCTGTGACCTGTCTGTGAAGAATGTAGAAGTAAAAGCCAAGGAAGATACCAATGCCTTGAAAAAGTCCTTGGAGGCTGTGGACAGAGAAGTGCCTGAAGTACCCACGATGTCCTTACCGGCCACAGATACCTCACCTTTACCTGCTGACAAAGAGATAGGCAGTGTAGGAAAACCAGGAGCTGTTGAGAAGGAAGCTGAGAAAGAACCTGCTTCTGTTAAAGAAAAGAAAAAACCTACTGCTGTATTTTCAGCCAAGCTGACTAAATCTTCAGGTAATCTGTGTATGCTGTCTTGCAGTCTGCTAATCCGCATAATTCTGTAGCTAAACTTAAGCATGTCATAACTTGCTCTTTTTAAGTGTCTTTCTGTGAACTTCTCTCTGCAGGCCGAGGGTAACAGGCACTGTTAGTGCCTGCACTTGTACCTTTTCCATATTCTGATTGCTGCAGTGCCTTTTTTCTGTTTATCAGGGCTGGACTCGCTGTCTCCAGTGTTCTCCTTCAGTTCTCCTGCCCGTGGTGTGTGGATGCAGAGATCAGCCTCCCTGGCACTGGGTGGCCTCCCAGACTCTCTGACTGGGATACTAAGCCATGGGTGGTGTGTGCACCTCATTTGGAAGAGGCATTTCTTCCTTTGCTTTAACAGTTTAAACATCAGGCTTAGGAAAATAACCCTTCTGCTCCTGTGCACCTCCACACTGCAGCCTGGCTTAGATCAGAGCCAGGGGTTTAAAACAAGTGCTGCACATGAGTGAGCTGAGCATTCAGGTTACTAGAAAACTGGCCATTAAGAACTTGAGCATCCTGCAGACACTAAAATTGATTTATACACAGCACAGGTATTAATTTCTGTTTCTCTTTCAGGTCAGGCTTGCACTTGGTTGTGGTTAATTTTTCTCAGGTGCAGTTACAGTAGCAGGAAGTTGAAGGAAGAAATAAGAGCACTGTCATGTTGCAGTTTGTTCTCTACACTGAACACTTAGGGACATTCCAGCCCTTGTAGACCAGAGGAGTGCTGTGTTTTGGGATATCTCAGCACTGCTGCTACTTAAGCCTTGACCAGAAGCATTCACACTAAAAACCAGCTCCTGCAAAAACACTCTTTGGTGCTCTGAACAGAAACCCAGAGGTCAGTTTGACTCAGCAGCAGTGGTGTGTTTGTGCAGCAGCTGCAGGCTGCAGTTCATAAAATAGAATCATGGGACACCCTGAGTTGGAAGGGAAGAATGGGAATGTTGAGGAGAACGTGAGTGTTGATGCAAAAGAAATAGGGTTTGGAAATTAATGTTCAGAATGTTGTATTTCTGTTGACCTTTGCATAACAGCTGCCATTTCTCCTGTCTCACCTCTTCTAGACACACAGGTAGGCAGAAAGGAGAGTTTTCCTTTTCCCTTGGGGTGGAATTTCAGTGATACCTGCGCTGCTAAAACACTGTGTGTGTTCTGCAAAGTTTCCTCTCCTTTCCCTCTGACTTCCAGCAGATCACACTGTCTGGAGAACAGCTGCTGTGGATCTGGGACTTCATGTCAAGGGTTAATTGCTTAGAGCTCTGACTGCTTTGAAAAAAAAACAGAGCAGACAAACCAAACCACTACACTTCTTACAGAGCTTCTGTGAGTTCTCCTAACAGGAGACCTTTGCAGAGGGGTCTTTAACCATGACCTGGGTCAGACTGGGGGTGGCCAGGCACTGCCTGGGGAGGGACACTCTTCCTTGGGCTCTGAGGAGGACACAGCTGCTGCTCTGCTGACTCTGGGGAGCTGCCAGAGGAGCTGCACAAACCCAGCTGCGAGAGCAGGAGGGAGCTGAATGTCCTTTTCCCACCCAGTGGCCCAGTGCTGGGGCACAACTGTGGCAGTGTTGGTGTGAGCTGGGCTGGGGAACTGCAGTCTGGTGGTGTTGTGTTTGCCCTAAAGCAGCTGCAGTTCTCATTTGTGACATGCTGTGTTGTTTGGGAAGAAATTTGTTCTTTATTCTGGAGGAACACTTGCTTAAAGCTGAACAGCTGAGAATAGCAACTCAAAAAGGGGCCATTTCTTCTGGATTTTTCTCCAGACTGCTCAGGCACAATTTCAGAGTGTCACTGAAGAACCAACGAGGAGTTCATCAATAGGCCAGGTGCATCTGTGCATGTGTTTGACCTTCTGAGTTTACCTTTATTCTGTGGGGGTTTCTCCTGTCTTCCCAGTAGTGGAACTGAAATAGATTTTCCTGGGCCTTAACACTTCTGGAATTCAGGTGAGGGGACTGTGTGACTGATGGTTGTTAATTATTCTGAGCTGCCTTACTGGTGCACTTAAAGCCCAGGATCTTCAGTGCTCACTGAGCAGTGCTGTTTTTTGGAAAGTGTGCTGTGAGTTCCCAGGGAGCTAACAGGGACTCTGAAAAGGCTGCAGGTATTTTCTGAACTTGACCATTGCAGTAAAGCTTTGAAGAGCCCCTGGGTAGAAGGAGGTTTGTTTAGTGCTGCCTGGCACGCCCTTGGGTAACCTGTTTTATGGTGTGTGACCTCGGGGACCTGCTACTTCAGAGCTGCACAGGTTTGAGGAACAAACACCACCAAAAAAAGCCAAATAAATTCAAAACTGTCCTCAACTATAAAGAGACTTTGTAACAGCTGTAACACTCTCAAGGGCAACCCCCCCTGCACCAGCAGCAATTCCTGCTGGCCTGGATACAGTGATACTTTTTTCAAACTTGTGTTTCTCAGGCCCTGCTGTGTTTGGCTCTGAGCTGCTGCACTGTTTCCCTCCCCGCAGCTCCAAATGGACATGTTTGAAGCTGTGACTGGAGAGGGGGTGTTCCCCAATTAAAAATGTGCTGCTGTGCTGTGCTGGGGGTGTGAGAGCAGGGCAGGGCAGCAGGGCCTGAGGAGCAGTGCTGGCTTAACCCAACTCCTGGGAGAGGCTTGAATGCCACCTAGTGTTTGTCACCGAGCTGGGACACCAGGGAGCCCATCCCAGCTTGGACAGTCTGAGGCTGGAAAACTAAATATGCACATTACCTATCCCAGCCCTGCTGTTGCACAGACTTGAATCTCTGATAGGGAATAATTCATTATCCCAAATAGGCTGGAAAACTGTGCTTTCCATAGACCTGGTTTTGATTGAAGGGATGTGGAAGATTTTATGTTTTTGATATTTATATTATTGGATTAGAGACCCAAAACCTCTGACCATAACAAAGTTGTGTTTTAAAATGTAGATTGGCAGTTTAGATCTCCCAGTATGTTCTTGTTGAGGTTACAGTAAGATTTGGAAATAATGGTGAGGTCTTTGCTGTCAGGGCACTTGGTTTCCCAGGACACCCTTGTTTCAGGGTGGGTTTCACCATCAGTTATTCCTTTCACCTTAAATCTGATTTATTTGCTTTGCTTACAGGCACTCAGAAGTGCAGCTAATCACTAATATTTTACATTTCCTGCATTGTCCTGAGGGGGCAAATGCAAAGATGAAATCCAAATGGGAAATGTGCTTTGAGAGGGTGTTTCTAACACCAGATCTTTCCTTTTTACTCCCAAAACACTGGGGCAGAAATAAACTATTTCCTGGGATGCTGGAACAGCAAACCAGGTCACTGCAGTTGTGTGAAGCATAAAGGGCATTAGAAATTCCGCCTGACACCAGCACATTTGGGTCATTTCTGTTACTTTGTGTTTGTAGTGACTTAAATGGAGCCATTCAGCAGATGGGAAGTGTTTGTTTAGGTTTTTTTGTTGTTTTTTGCTGGAGGAAAAATACCTTGGAACGTCTGGAGTTTCTTCCAGAAGCAGATTGATAAAATTGCATTTAATTCAACATAAAGTCTTGATTTGATTTAATTTAATCTCATTGTATTCTTCAATTCTTTGCTCGTTCAGGTTGTCTTTTATGCAACCAGGTAAATAATAATAAATGGAGACTTCCATTCCAGGGTGAACTCACAGAGTAGGAGGAATGAGGAAAAAACAAAGCAATGAGAGAAGTTTTTCTGAAGGAGAGACGTAAACTTAGAGCTCTCAGGGTCCTGTTGAGAGGCAAAGACTGGTGTAGCTGAGGCTGCTGGCAGAGCAAGGCCTGGGGGAGTTCCCTGCAGAGTGGCAGCACTGTGGACAAAATGGAGCATTTGGGGTAAGTCTCCACTTTCCCAGAAAGCTGGATGGGCAGCAGCATGGATGGGAGCACCAGGAGGTGGGATCCTGCCCTGGGGAAGGCAGGAATGCTGGTGCCAGTCCCCCTGCCCAGGGTGATCCAGTGTCTGGGTGGGGAGTGAGTGACGTGCTCACCCTGCCCCGAGCTGCCCCTTGGAACCAGGGCTGTTCCCTGGCCTGGGTTCAGAACTGATTGTGCCCGAGTTGTCTGGCTGAGTTGATAAAAGCACCTCTTAAAGGTAAAGCAGCCTGGGAGTTGGGCAGTTTTTGGTGTAAATGGCCTGGAATTTCCTGCTGGAACGCTGCCATTCCTCCCGCAGTTTGGCAGTGCCGGTGCCCAGTTTAGGTGTAGAACAGGGGCACGTCTTGCCTGAAATGAGAGCTGTGAGTCCAGGGGGATGAGGGTGAACACTGAGTGTGCAGAGTGAAGAGGAGGATCTGGAGGGCAGGGAGAGGAATTCCTGTGGGGGGAGCGAGCGGCTCACTGGAGCCGGGAGGAACGGGAATGGTGTCCCTGCTCTGGCTGCTGCCGCTCTGCCGTGGCCACCACAAAATGTCTGCTTGGGAGTAGTTGCATAATTGCACTATTTGAAGTCTGTGGTAGAAAGAATAGGAAATTAAGAGGCTTTAATTATGTATCCTTACAAATTTGACAGTTAGTGAGAAGACCTTTGAAAGCATCCTATTTTTGTCTAATTTAGTGACAGTACAAGTGCAGAAGGAGACCCACAGATTTCAATGGTTTCCAGTTCAGCTCAAAGACAAGCAGATTTTCAGACCTGTTTTGTCCTTTTTTTTTTTTTTTGTGCAGTGCATCTTTTCCCATTTGCTTGCACTGTGATGTTGGAATATAAACTCCCCAGGTCCCTCCTGTAGCATGTGTTTGGATTTACCTGTTGGAATTGTGACTGAAATGCACATCTTTGCAGAAGGTAAAAATAGATCTTGTTGACAAAGGAGGCCTTAAATTTATGTAGCAGTGTAAGTAAAAAACAGGGCTTTTGGGTAAATTTGTAGTGATCTGTCTCAGTGAAAGATTTTCTCATGAAAAGTAAAACTATCTATTTAAGGTCTGAATCAGGATCTCTGGCCCACCTGGTCTACGGTATTTTTCTGGAAATGCAGGAATGCCCTTTTCCAGTT